CTCGTTCGGCTGCCGTGTGGCGAGCAGGTGGCGAGCAGGGTGCTCGCATGGCTTCGTCTGTGAGGCCAGCCCTCCTGGGGCTGTTGGACGAGCTTCACTGAGAGTTGCTGAGTGTGAGGGCTTGGGGGGGGAGGGGGGGGTAGAGGGCTGTTTAGGCTCCGCTCAGCCCACACTCCTGGTTCTGACCCAGGCGGCCTCACAAGCCCCCTCTGCCAGCCCCTACCTCCCTTTCAGCTCTCGCCGGCCTCAGCCTCAATAGCCTGACCATCTTCTCCTTCTGCACGAGCCCGGAGCTCCGGACCCCGAGCCACCTGCTGGTGCTGAGCCTGGCTCTGGCGGACAGCGGGGTCAGCCTGAACGCCCTCACCGCAGCTACGGCCAGCCTCCTCCGGTACTGCCCTCCCTGGGCCCTGATCTCTGGGTCCTGCCCCCGGCCTGACCTCTGGGCACTGAGCATTCTCCTACCAACAGAAAACTGACCCGGGCTGGGGGGGGTGGGGGTGGGGTTGAGCAGGCTGAGCTGGGCTAGATCCAACCCCAGACCCGCAGCAGTTCCTGGAGCACAGGAGCTCTCCGCCTGACCACAGCGGCTGCCGGGTGAAGAGCGGGCCCTGCCACCGGCTCCCACGTTTGAATCTTGGCTGCATTATTTCCCACCTCTTGGCTTCCTCTCTAAACTGGGTCTTATTACCTAACTCATGTGGTGGTTGGAAGTATGACGTGCTATTACTTGTGAATAGCTTCACACCATCACTGGTCCCTGGGAAGCCCTAAATTATGTTTGTGGAAGCAAACAGGACCTCACAGGGCAATCCGGGTCTTCCCACTCGGCCCCAGCGGGTGTTTCCAAGATCTCTTAGGGCAGCGGTTCTCAACCTGTGGGTCGCGACCCCTTTGGGGGTCGAATGACCCTTTCACAAGGGTCGCCTAAGACCATCGGAAAACACATATATAATTACATATTGTTTTTGTGATTAATCACTATGCTTTAATTATGTTCAATTTGTAACAATGAAAATACATCCTGCATATCAGATATTTACATTATGATTCATAACAGTAGCAAAATTACAGTTATGAAGTAGCAACGAAAATAATTTTATGGTTGGGGGTCACCACAACATGAGGAACTGTATTAAAGGGTCATGGCATTAGGAAGGTTGAGAACCACTGTCTTAGGGGGACTGAGCCCTGGCTCCTGCAGGTGGAGGCTGGCGCCCCCTGGTGTGAATGGCCTGGGTCCGAGCCAGTGAGGGCTCCTGGCTGGGACCTCCTCCTGCTTCTGCTGAAGCTCTACCCTTGTTTGGCTCCCGAGGCCATGAGCTGGGAGGCCTGGGGTTCCCTCTGACTTTGCCTTCATCGGCTCTGTGGCCTTGGCTCAGCACCTTATCTTCTCTCAGCCTCAGTTTCCCCATCTATGGAATAAAGGTATGAGCTCTCTTTCCAACCAGGGTGTTCCATTTACTGTAATGGAGGCTCCTGATCACACAGAGACCTTTGTTCCAGCCATGGGGCTGAGCCTGAGCCTGCACCGCCCCTCCCCCCCAAGGGACCTCATAGGAAAAACAGATCATACCGGCCTCACCTGAGGAGCTGGGCTGATGGGCTGATGTCAAGGAAGGGCCTCCACGCTACTCCTGGGCAGGGGTTGGGTGCAGAGGCCAAGGGAGGGTCACTGTGCCCATGTCTCCGCAGGCGCTGGCCCTATGGCTCAGGTGGCTGCCAGGCTCACGGCTTCCAGGGCTTCGCAGCCGCTCTGGCCAGCATCTGCGGCAGCGCGGCCGTTGCCTGGGGGCGCTACCATCACTACTGCACCCGTACGTGTTTGGGGGTCCCAGGAGGAGGGATCCCCAGGCAGTGAGGGTGATCAGGATGGAAATCTGCTCAGTGCTTCCCAA